GAAATAACATATATTTTAAGAAACGTAATGTCTAAAATGTTTTAATAGTTTCTGATCAGAAAATTTAAAGCACAGCGTAAAATGCGAATACAAAATAAAAATATTGTTTGAAAATTGTTGTAATTTAATCCTTACTGATTATTTTCTTCTTTAGGAGATAGTTTTGATTTCAGTTTACTATTAAATGAATAAACTTATTAAGAGACGCACGTCACTGAATTCATAATAAGCATTTATATAAGTCTCATTTATTTTATTGGACGTTTAATCTGAGAATATGAGGATCTCATCAGATTAAGTTCAGTTACCTCAGCAGAGTTAAATGTTGCATGTTAACAATTCCCAAGTGAGTCGCGAACACAGGCGTGGCCCTAAGCATCCATCAAAGCATCGCATATACCAAATTAGGTACCTCATATGTCAGCAAGTATCACATTCGAAGGGTAATACCAAAATACATCGTGAATAAATTATTTATCATTCTCAGAACCATATAAATTTCAAAAATGATATAAATGTCAAAGTTCTAAAGAAACGCAGCATAAATAAACCACATCTTTATTAAAAGGTCATTCAAGTCCAAGCAGCTAAAATGTAAAGGGTAAAGGTTATATATTTTGCCCGTTTAGGCGAAATTATGAGTTACTTGCCTTATTTATTTCGAGATTTTATATGATGAAAGGTCAAAAGTTAAGCAAGACATAATCCGTTCTTTGTAATTCAAAGAGCTGATGTCAGAAGTAAATACATAGTGAAAGTTAAAGAAGATACGCCAGTAGAAAAGGAGAACATTTACACAGCAAAAAGAAATGAATTGTGCGCTGTATATTTAATACTGAATTCGCAAAGCCAATTTATGCAAATAAGGAAATATATTATGTAAATAAAAAACAACAAATAAGATACTTACAAGATAGATTAAAAAGCATAATAAAAGTAAACACGTGTGATTCCACCATTCTATGTATCAATATAAGCTAAATTTTCATTACACGCAATTTACATGTATCCCTTTGTTTAATGTGTGTGTAAAGTTAAACCTAATTAGTTGGTTTAATCTTCGAATTATCATTTTTACAGCTAATTTCAAGTCTAAATTAAACTTCAGGAATGCGGATAAAAGGTAAACCAAAGAGAAAAGGTTTATTAAACTACACCTAATATTCTGCAATTTAAAATTAACAAAAAATAGCTACCGCTATTCACGGATCAGCAACTCAAACCGTATATAAATCGTAGAATCTTGTATATAGTCCCATTCTGCTACCTGCCTCGGTAGGCTTACATTTTTAGTCTTATATGTTAGTAAATTCTACATTTTTTGCTTTAAATGTGATTGAATTATGAAATTTTTTATATTCCAGTTAAGGCTTTTATGCATTTAGTTAATCTGCATGCAATAATTGTAGAATTATCAACAATTCAAAAGTTTGAGTTAAGCCTAACGCACCGCCAATTGTTTATATTTGAAACTCAGTAGAATAGGGAATGAAGTCGGTTTCTGCATCTTCAATGTCTTTTTGCCAAGTGAGACCAAATGCGAACTTTCAATTTTAATTTTAAACTATTTTAATTATATTTGTAGCTTTATATTTTCCCGTATTTTACAATTTTTAAGGAAGATGTTTTGAGTTTTTTTTTTTTTTTTTTTTTTTTTTTTTTTTTGGTGTGTGTGTGTGTATTTTTGCTTTATCGCAAAGGGAGAACTGAACTAATTGAATGAGAAATATATCTCTGATGAAATTCGAGGAAATATGTTTAAATGAAATGCAGCGAGCGAAAAATGTATGTAACTTAATAGGCCATACAAGGAAGTCCTGTTGTGCCCACATCAGATTTTTTTTTTTTTATAATATTCAAACCGACAATGCATTGCTTTTATATAACCGAAGAAATTGTTGCGAAAAAACAAAATGTCCTAAGAAGAAAAGAAATAAAATGAAAAGATAAAGCAGAAACACAATTTATTTATTTCTATGAAGTACGGATATTGACAGTCTTAGTAATATGCTCGCTGTAAATATAGAATCTAATGTGATAGCTAAGATAACCTGAGGATATATAATAACTCTACAGCGAGGAAAATAAAAATTCATTCTTGTGTAAATAGCGTATCTGAGATTTTTTGCTTCCAGGAATTATTCCTAAGAAATTTTTCGTAGCCCGAAGATCTCTTACCTAAGAAGCCCTGTGTACAATATGAGTGCAGAATAAGTTTACAACAAATTATTATGGAGAGTAAAATTATAATATTTTCCATTATTGTAACAAGAATTGATTTATAGAAGATCTGTGTAGCTTCTATCTTGTTAAATAGAAAATTATCGAAAATTTTTATATGTCAGTGAAATTGGATAGAATTCTGAAATTGTTTTGTAAGTATTATGATGTAAGCTCTTTCATTGTCAACGCAATCGGTAAGGGTATGGTTGATTATAAACGTTTCCTGATCCAGAATTTCTAAAAGATTTGTACAATAGCTCTCGAAATAAAAGTGTAGTCTACGATAACTCTTTACTAGTTGGTCCTACTTGCGGCCGAGCAGTAGAATTAGTAGAGCAGTAGCAGTAGTAATCGCTGAAGATTGGTTGTCCCTACTCTTTTTGGGTTCGACTGTAGGCAAACGGACTGGCTGCGCGGACGTTTTCGTGATTTTCCCGATATGTAAGTGCATAAGAGCCAGTTTTCCTGAGAAAGTCCTGCAAGAAAGTATCTCTCCTTAGGCAGATAACTTAGTGTATTTTGCCATAATTAAACTGAACCAACCGTCTTGACCTGGATTTATGTGTGCCTCTCTCCACTCGCCTTTCTAGTTACACAGAATGTGAAAGAATAATCTATTTCGTCCGTTGCCTCTGTTAGAAAGTACATGGTTAGCACTTTGGCAGAAGGAAGTGATCCGAATCCTATCGAGAACACAAGTGAAGATTTATTTTCCTGCTTCGATGAGCGTAAGGATTTCTAAAAATTTTCAAATTCGGTAAATTCCAGAGTTAACTTACCCCAAAGCAAAACAACACTTCCAAAGGTAACTCCAAAAATCATTTAATAGAATATACCATTGGGGATGCTGTAGTGAAAGAATATTTCACGACATGAAGAATAGCTCATGGGAAAAACTTTAGATCTTGATTTCCTAGGACAAGCTGGATATTATTACAGCCCTACCCCCCCAAAAAAAAACTATCTAACTTTCTCTCATAATGTCTTTCGAGAAATATAATAAAATAATTAGCACGTTGCTTTAATGGACAGTATGTTGTCCTAAGCTTTCTAAGATTTTTAAGATAGCAAAGTATCTTGAACTGCTGGAATCACGCCCTTAGTAATCATCTCAGCCAAGTGACCTTGAATCCAATGCCATACTAGGTTACAAATAAAAAAAAGATAAGTTGTACAGGGTTTTTTCGTAGCAGAAAACAGGAAAGTTAGTGAGGCACTATCTCAGATTCGAATTCTTTGTACGCAATTGCTAGCAGGACGTGCTACCTGTACATCATGACAGAACGCTGTGGAGGATATGAAAATTCCTGATATAGCCCGATTTTTAGGATGACTAAAAACTGAAGGAACATAATCACTAAGTCCTTGTGGTGAAAAATTATCATCGACCAGAGTTCAGTTGAGAGCAAATTTGGAGTTTTCTTTCCACAGACGGCGGAGCAGTTAGCATGTTGGTCAGGTGGCTCCACTGACGGATTTAACTTTACTACAAAAGTTCTCAGATTGCGGTCTGCCCAGGCGTATGTTTGGCGGAGGGGCACATAGACTGTTGTGTTTCACTCCTTTTCAAAGGTTCACAAAACTCTTTAGTGTGCTTTGTGTAAGACGACTGCTTTGATGAGTGAGGTGTGCAATATTTTTTCCTTCGGAAGCTGGAAGCGTAAGTAATCAGCTATGCCCTTGTGAGGATTCCAATTCAAAATATACTAGCCGCACATGTTGCTAATTACACCACGAGAAAAAGCACGAAAAAAAATGCATTAATTCCTGATATCTTCATTTAAAAGGAGAATAGAAACAGGGGAACAAGCCCCAGTCGGCCAAATCTAGTGGAGACGAATGGTTGTTCAATATTATAGACGGGCATTGTTATAGGTATATTAAAGAATTTTTGGGGGAAAACAGAATTGTTAGAAAGAAACTGCCGAAATTTGGTCTCCATGTCTTCCGATTGCTAGCTGTATATACTATCAATTATACCTCGAAAGCACGAAAGGGCGACAGACGTCCATACCTGCCCCAAAATGTCCCCTTTCATTTTAGAGCTACTACGCATAAACTTTTGAAATAAATGAAACTCAAATTTAACAAAAATTTGTTATTAGCTTTTAAATGAACGTTACAAGCTAACTCTCATAGTTATTTAATTATTTCTTCCTAAAACATAGCTTATTTTAATTTAATTGCTGACCTTCAGAATGTGTGACTCAAGTAGTAAGAAACAGTTATCTGTATTAAATCTAAGTAGTAAGCCAAGAACAATTGAAATTAGATAATAATACATTTTTCAGCATTGATCATGTCTTACGAAAGGTACAAAAGAGAAATAAACTCTTTATTCGCTGAAAGACGCAGTACTCGAGATCTAAACCAAATCGGAAATGCTAGCTGAAAATAAATCAAAGTAGATTTTGAAAGAGAAATCTAGGTATATCTACTTCTCAGATTTGATCTGACTTCTTCAAGAACACGAAAGAAAGACTGTCTGAGAGCTATCCTAGACTTAAGTGTACAGTATATAAAAGCTAAGAAAGAATCCAGAAAATTCTGGAGAAAAAATAAAAATAAATAAATAAATAAATAAATAAAAATAAAAATAAGAAAAAGTTTGCTGCCAGTACTAATATATATATGTATATATGTATAAAAATATTACGAAAATACATACATACATATATATATATATATATATATATGTATTTTCGTTCAGAAACTGCCACTTGTTTGACGTAACGTTTTTATTTTTTCTGCCGTAGGATCAAAAACATGTAGCCATTGCTCTGACAGCTGTGGATAAAGATTCCAAAGATGTAAATGATCTGGTTGTCAGAATTGAAGATGATGCTCTGGATCTGTTTACTGTCAGCGACGAAAAGATTTATTCAAATATACGCGCGAAGAAAATGACATTTCTGAACGCAGGTAAGAAAATTGCTATTTTATATAATGATTTAAAAGCTAGTATCACATTCTGTGTGAAATTTGTAATGCATTTAAACAAGTTACTAACATATATTTAAAAATCATGAATATTAATTTTTAATTTATTTAATAGCTAAAATTCTTGTTATGAAATAAAAAGTAGAGGACAAATTGAAACATATTCAAGAAATTAATGATATAAAAGTTAATGTAATATGATTTGAATATGTATAGATTATATAGAACACGTCACTTATATTTTTAATATTATTTTTTAATCTCTTGTTTAATATTTACTCCCAAAACGTAAAACACAAATGGCCTCTAAATTTTCGTTATTATAGGTTAAGAACGCCTGGTTAACTCTGAAAGATCCCTCGTGTTTTCCTGGTTTGATAAATTGATCGTTATACATTTTCTGTAGAGGTGTAGCAGTACACCTCTACAGAAAATGTAAGTTGTAAAATGTAAGTTGTAAATGTAAGTTGAAAATGTTTTAATTTCTGTAGAGGTGTACTGCTAACAGTACACCTCTACAGAAATATATATTGAATATATATTAACAGGAATATATATTGACAGGTAAAAGACAATGCACTGCATAAGCATTGAGTTAGTTCTTTATAAACATAAAGGGCAAATTAATAAGGCTTACTCATTTCAAGTGCAATAGTTTCTTTATGCATAAATATTCTTCAGGAATTATCATTTATAGCTGTGTACACTTTTATCATATCCACCAGTCAGACACTTATACGAAAATATCTATAGGAATCTATTGCCAATTTAACCGTTTAATCACTGGAAACATTTCTCATTTGGGGTCGTATAATATCGCTGTATTAAGAAAGGAGGAAGGACACTTATGTAAGCCATAGGCAAGGTAGGCGCAAGGCAGTCTTGGCCCTACCTTGCCTTAATAGCACCCCTACCTTGCATTAATAGGTAGGGGGCAAGCCTTACTTGAAAATCAAACTCACACCTTGATTTCGGGCAAGCAAATACTTCCGCTAATTACTACCCAGAGCGGCGTTGTGTACACGTACATTATTTAATATACATTTTTATTCAATCATTTGTTGTTAAGTTACGCGTATACTTTACATTATTGTACTTTTTGACTGGAAGAAAAGGGTAATTTTTCTAGATGTCAACATTTTGTTTGTCATTAAACTGAACTAAATCCCCCCCCCGAAATAATAATAATAGGGTGTTTTTTAGTGTTCTCTGGTTATTTTGTAATTATTTCTTAACTCTTCAACCAACTGCTATTCAGTTTTGTGTAGTTTTAAAGTTACCGATCACATGAATTTCTCATTTTTAGGTAATATTTTAGTGTTTTAGTAATTTTCGTGCGTTTAATGCATAAATATATAATTCGTGCAATGTTTCAAACTAATGGGGTATTAAAATTGTTAATAACCCAAAATGAATTCTAAATGTTCAAAAAGGTGAATCGAACGTCAAGAGACCTAAAATTTGAAGCGTATTGCATCGAAGAGTAAGCCGAACTGTTGTATTTAAAGTGTAAACATAGCTTTCATAAAGTGTTTTATTCTGAAGTTACATTTTTCGTGTAATTCATTCTACTGGTGTATCCGGTTTATTTTGGCACGTTACAATCTACAATATCCCAAAATATATTTATGTGTATTCCTTAATTATTGTTTACTAAAGCTATTTTCTTTTTTGTGTTTTACAGAGATACGATCCCAAGGAGTTTTCGCATTTCCAGGTTCTGAATACAACTTTTCTGTTATTATAGAAGATGCTAAACTTCTTAAAAACAAAAATAAGGTAATACTTTATTGTAATTTTAAGGTCTGGATGCGGTTATTGTAAGCATAAAATTAATACATTAAAAATGATGTAGAAAATGAGGAAAAATTTATTGATTATAAATAATGATTTGTCAAACTTGAGATGAAATTAGAACAATAATTTTGATAGAAATAGAACTTTTTATTGCTTTAGAGAAGGTGATTCTAAATTACCGGGCAAAAAATATAAAGGTAGGTAGAGGAAACGGAAATAAGTAGTTTTAATAGTGAAATAAGTTACATTGAATTAATGGGTGTGCGTAAATGGTGCTGTTGAGATCGGTAAGTAAAAGCGGTCTGGTCTTTTCCCTATGGGGATTTTTAGCACTATACATCACTACATAAATTCTGAGCTCACCTTATTCATTTTATTTGTGGGACTTCAACTGGACATGGAGCATTTGCTCAGAGAATGTATAACGAACGACTTACGAGTAGATAGCTGCTGAATCGTTAAGTCTATAAATTATAAATGTATTAATTGGAATCAGTGTGAGAGTTAACCTCGATACTTTTTTAAGGCCCCCGTTGAATAGAACGGGTGGACTTGCTTCTTGGCCATCACAATCGTCAGATTTGGCATGCATAAATTTGATCTTTTTGGTGGAACATCAAAAGCCTCCTCTACAAAAATCGACTAAGTCCGATGAAAATAAGTAATAGTTGCTGCTGGAAATATGCATCAAATGCCTGGAACATTGAAATTGTACGCCAGTTTATTAGTCACAGGGTTTTTAGCACCCATTGTAAAAGGCTGATCACTAAAATGTTTGTCTTTTAAAACTGTCTTAAGACTTTATTAAGTCTACCCTACTTATTTGCCTTTTGTTTATATCCTCTTTAAATGCAAGGACGTAGATACATCACCATTTCTAAGTACACGTTCCATTACAAAATCTATATATTTTGGACAACTCGGTGTACCTTTAACTTTTGGCAGATATTTTAGAATCATCAAAAATTTATTTCATGCTTACGCTTAGTAACTGAACTTACCGCAAAATGTGTCATGAAATGAGTTTTCGTGTCGTATCAGAAAATGATGAGACAGCATGGGGGAAAACGATAATAATAACACATTATTCTGCATCATAATGACAAAACAAGATGTAAATTGTGGAAAAATAATTATAAACAGTAATTTATTCCTTGAAGAAGAGCTCTCTGTGCCATTTTTTGATAAAACGCAAGGCTTCTGGAACTAACTTTAATCAAAGACTAGATTCTTCTTCTATTTATTACACAAGAGTCTATACACTAATATTTCCACACAAAGGAAACTGATTTGCCCTAAATGTCAAAGTCCCAAAATTAAGTTCCAAATCAGTTTTAGAGAGACTAAGTTTAACATTTTTTATATATTTACGAAACAAGGAAAGTATCTTTAGAGATGGACAAAAGGGCAATATTCAGAGCAAATAGAATGAACTCATGTTTGAATTCTTAAATATTCTTCTTTCTAGTTTGCGTAACAAATTTTCACAAGTTCAGGCATATACAAGGTTTTCTAGACTAGAAGAATTAGTAATACTGAAAAATTATTTAGTGAATAGTATTAGGTAAAACCAAGCTTAGATATGAAATCTTGATTTATTAAATGCAATGTAAAAAATTGTATTTTTATTACAAAAAATATACAAAATGTTGTTATAAAATCTCTACATACGATGTAGAGATTGCATTTGGCCACTGATGAGCATATTCCCATTTCTAATTCTGGTGAGTTGGGAATATTCGTCAGTACCGCCAAAATTGTAGCTCTTTGTTAACGTATAATTTCCGGAATGTCAGTGCATCTTAATTAATTGGTCTTTAAAATCGTGGTCAGCTGAGATAGGTATGACTGATGATTCCCATAATCTTTACGCTGGAAAGGAACTTAACAAAGGGATATTTTAAACATTTTTCTGCTTTATGCAGCTTTATTAATAGTTCAACTTTTACTTATTTGATTACTTTCTGCTATATAGTCTTCCTATTTTTATCCTTTTAATTTGAGGCAATTTATGTTCGCAATTGTTTTGTGTGTTTATGTGTTAAAAAAGACTACATTTGAAAGGCAATATTAAATACTAGTTTTACGTAATCTTTCTAAATCTTCATACAGTTTGTTTAAGAGAAAACTTACTGGAACTGCCATACTTTCTCATAGTTCCTTCTATTATATATTCTCCCTTAAGTTTTTCGACATGTAATTTAGAATCTTCTGATTGAGAATCAAGAAGAATCTTCTTCTTGATTTAGAATCTTCTGATCCTGTAATGAGTGAAAAGTATGCCAAAAGATACTCTGTAGGTAAAAAAATATTGCGATCAATAAGCAATTGTCTTCTTTAAAACACATCATATAATAATATAACACACTTATAGGCATATGCCTTTTAATATGCTATAACATCTTGCATTCTTATCGAGCATAAACTAAGTACACGTTAACAAAGTACGTAAGGAATTATCCTTAAGTATGACAAAGTCCAGAATAAAGGGTGTGAATAACCCTTATTAACTCAAAATTATTCACACATGGCACCGACTCGTGCTTGCAAAAACCCAAAACTTTTGGCTTAACTCAAAATGTAATAAGTAAGTTAAAGCAGAATACTGACGGCTTTTCACATGTTACTTAAACGCGCAGGCAGGCTGTGACAAGTCAAAGTCGCCGTAAACAAGCTTAAGGGCTAGAAGCGTTGAACGCCACAGAAATCTAATAGTTAGTAAATCAAAGATAACAATGTGGCCTTCAAGCAGGCAGAACACGCTCTAAAATCACCTTCGAAAACCTCCCCTTAAATGCTAACTTCTTTCTACCTCATTTGAATACGCGCGCGCTAACTCATTTACATTCTGGCAAGAAAGCGTGGTTTGAAAGCGATAGTAATAGAAAAGGTTGCTTCAAAATAATATTAACTGTTAGGGAACTTAAATAAATCCGCACAATGCTTTCTTTCTGTCTTTCATGTACCACTTTTACCTCTCTTGTCTCCTCATTGCCTCCTCTAAAAATAAATACATCACGTAATTTTCTGTTTTTTTTTTTAAATTTCAACAGGTAAAGCTATAAATTAAAAATCTACGTTAAAATACGCTTATCTAATCTGTCTTCCTTAAATGAACTTTCGCCTACTTAGAACTCTAAAACTTCAAGAAGACAAGCTGTACAAGGCAATTAAACGTTTATTAAAGTAAATAAATATCAACTGAAATGAAATCGATGTGTCATTTTACTGTCACAGAAAAAAATAATCCTTATTTAAAATTACTCGCAGAAGCAATGCGATGTACACCATTATAGTACAAAGTCCAAAATCCGGACTCGTCGGGACTTCGGCGATTCCGGATTTGGGATTTTTCCGGATATGAGGTCATCAGTTTAAATATAGTAAGATGGCATGTAGAAATTATAAAATTAAAAATATGAAATCGTGGTTTATGAAATAATGAAGTAGTTATGATCTAAAGGGTATCAAAATTTACAAAAAAAAAAGCTTAATATTTATTTGTTTACCTTATTAAACATTTCTTTCAATGTAAGTTGTTTAAGCTGCTTCGTTTTTTGTGCTAATACTTTCTCTTTAATTCTGTAAAAGACATAATTTCTTGTTTCGTTACATTGTTGAAGTCCTGTAAGTGCTGTTTCGAGAATTCCGACTAACTTGTCAATCGAAATTTCCTCGATTTCAGTAACTTATCTGTCACTTTCTTCACTACCGGTAGCGGTATTTTCTGGATCTAGAACCATACTACAGATTTCACCATTCATTAATTGATTGATGATTGAGAAGCATTGTCATCACAATGAAAAACTTATTTTATATCATCTTCATTTATTACTGCTTCTCCACATTTCTTTACGAAAATCCGTTAATTGGAAAATTTCACCTTTGTTTTGCGATATCCGAAAACCTTTAAAATTAGTAGCTATCATTATCAAATTTAGCTATCCTTCGCTGTACATATTTGGCTATGCATCATGAGCTCGGCGTCTAACGACAAGTTGTTCCGTTAAATTTTATCTTGCTTCTATGGCGCACTGAGACAATTAAGCCTGAATTGTATTAGTGTTGTTATTTTATTGTATTTACATCTGTTTCTTGCACATGCTTATGGCTTATCAGAGTTCTGAATAAATAAATTTCCACATATATTTAAGCCTTATTGAGGGCCGGCGCTACATATCTTACCGCCTGATGCAGTCTCTGTGAGTCCTAAATTCTGCGACTCGGTGCGCCCATACGAGCCCTGGCGCTGGTTCTGGGTTTATCTAATAACAAATCAATTATTTTTAATTCAAATAGCCCTAAATGTAATCTTTGGGTCTATGAGTATCATCAATAAAATCTATTTTAGCATATGAAAAGAACGTTTTGGTAAATTTTTCCTCGTCAAAATTTTTAGCACATTTTAAATCTGTAATCATCGCCAAGCGATTAAAAACTCTCATCATCAACACAAAACGTTACCATACTCCTTTATTATTTAATTACTAACATAAAAGAATTGTTTAGGCATTGCTACATGATTGTTTCTTCAATAAAAAGGTATTTTATTTAGTGCCGAAGTGAAATTAAGAATCGCGACTCACCAAATGTTTAATTATGCGCTGAGAAGGGAATAAAATGCACATGCGTAAAGCCTACGAGAAAAACTTTGTTAGTGGTTTTGAGGTCCGGATTTTAAATCATTCCAGATAATGTGCGTCCGAATTTCGAACTTTGCACTGTAGCAGATATTTTGACTGCAGTGTTATCATAAATAGTATAAACAAAAGTACGCTGCGCGAAAAGAAACTGAACATGATCGCCTAACCTTAATCTTTTTTTATATATATATTCTGGTTAAGTTATGATAGTGGACTAAGTAATATATAATTAATAAATCTCTTTAACTATTACGTTCTTTTTAGTGAAGACAGCCAGGGTAACCTTTGCCTCAGTTCCGTACTAGCCGGGAAGTAAATGTTTGTCAAGTTAGCTTTAATTTAAGGACTCAATAAATTCTAGTTTACTAAATCCCGATCCCGGGAACGAAGAATCGTTTTCTCTCTATTCCCGATCTCGGGAACTAAGAATCGTTTTCTCTTTATTCCCGATCCCGGGAACGAAGAATCGTTTTCTCTCTATTCTTGATCCCGGAAACGAAGAACTTTTTTCTCTCTAATCCCGATCCCAGGAAGGAAAAATCTTTTTCTCTCTAATCCTGATCCCGTGAATAAAGAAGTTTTGTCTCTCTAATCCCGATCCTGGCAACGAAGAATGTTTTTTTCTCTAATCCCGATCCCGGGAAAGAAGAATCTTTTCCTCTCTAATCCCGATCCCGGGAATGAAGAATTTTGTTTTCTCTAATGTCGATCCCGGGAACGAAGAATTTTTTCTCTCTAATCCCGATCCCGGGAACGAAGAATGTTTTCTCTCTAATCCCGATCCCGGGAACGATGAATCTTTTTCTCTCTTATCCCGATTCCGGGAACGAAGAATATTTTTTCTCTCTCTCCTTGTTTGGAAGAAGGAAATGTTCGATTATTGGTTTTCCAACGCACTATGTATGCGGCGGAATCCTAAGTAAGAGCCATGTTTATGTATACTCCTTTACCTCAGAGCCGAGATCTCTTGAGTATGATAAATGACACAGGAATGATAAGAAGTTATTTCACAACTCATAGTTGTTTTTCCAATATGTTTATTGACTATATATCCGCTAAACAATATCGGCTAATTTGTATGCCGTACACATCCATCTAAATTATGTATACTAAATTAGTATTTTCTCAGAAATATAGGCTTGCTTATATTATCTTTGCAATTTATTTATATAACAGAAAAATTTTAAACAATTCAATGAATTAGCATTTACTTGGCCTCTCATGGAATTTCTCATGGAACGATCATGTGACCCAAGTATGTGTAAAGGCCTACAAAATCATGTTCAGACTGCTCCCACTGTTAAAATGTGAACAACTATCTCTACATCTGAAAAATAGATTCTATATTACGGTCATTCGACCGATTCTCACATACGCTTCCCTGCCTAGGCAAACGCAAAAGACAAGGACTACAAAAAAACTTCAAGTCTTTCAAAACAAATTCTTAAGAGTAATCACCGAAGCTCCCTACTTCATCAGAAATTGTAGTCTGTACTCGGATTTAAACTTTGAACAAATTCAAGAATTTTTTAATTGCAAAAAAGAAACCGGTCAATCAATGAAAAATCATTCAACAGAGCGATTAGCTACAACCCTGTTAATTTCGCCAATATCTTAAGTTACGAAACACTTGATGGAGATAAACTTCTCGCCCATTCACCGCTCACTTGTTACAGTCTACCTAAACTGACCAATGAGAACTCAGCTTACACACTCAGTAGTTTGCAAACTCACCACGTTTCGGAATCTACAAACCTTTTCATGTGTTCCGGCCAGCTTTCCCAACCTCCCTCATCTTCTGCAGCTGCTGCCCCAGACATGGTTTTCTGATCACCAAAGCTCAAGCTTCAATTGTCTGTTACTTTTACAAGGCTATCTCAAGTGGAGAAGCTTCATTTTTGGACTTTTACATATGTCAGGATCTTAAGGGGATTCATTCAGGAATCTGGAAAGAGCAGGAGTAGTTTATCTCCCGCTGCATGCCAGAATAAACAACCAAAGTATCAAGTATTTTCACCGTAACAGTTTTTGCAAAATGATTAGAAGCAGTTTTATACTATATAAAGTAAACTGCCTTAACTAATTTGCTAATATAGCACTCGATTAAATTTAGACCTTTGAGATTCTTATCAAACTTTTTGAATACTTTCAAAAGAAATCTAGTTAGGTTACCTCTGTTCGTTTATTTTAACTTATTTTAATATTCCTTTTTTTAGTAAACAATCTTTTTTTTAATCTGTGGTTATAGCGGAATTAGTTTCGTATGAGAATTTTTTTGTGTTCCTGAAAGAAATAATTAATATATGTATCTTTAAGCGTATAAAATGCATTAGGCTTCACTGCATGAAACAAAGAAGGTAACACAAAATTTCAGAATCATTCATCCATGCGGTATTTTAATTGCTATTGTAAGTCTTTTGTACTACTTTAAGCATTAAGATGAGATAGCATTAAGATGAGAATAAGACATTCACTTCCACACTGCGAGTATCATATTTGAATGCAATATGACAATGATAATTCATTAAAAGCAGTCATCCATTGTTTCCTATCTGGGTCTTGGATAGTTTTCATCTTACTAAACATAATAATTCAAATTTTATGTAAAATAATAAATCCCTTCCAACACGTCCTTTAGCTATGTTGAGAATGGTTCATTCCTTAATGGAGAATAATGTGAAGAAATATAAATAAAACTTTGAATTAATCTTTATGTATTATAGGTTTTTTTTCAAAAACTATTGTAAATCTTAATGTATTCTATCTATTTTAAACGTTTTATGGAGTTACCAGCTTGCAAGCAGCTGAACGAATATGTCAACACTGGTAACTCTATCTAGTAATTACAGTTCGACCGTCTTAAACGCAACCTTGGCTAGCATTCTGCCAAAACACATAGATTCGTCTAAAAGGGGCGTTAGTTATGTGCCGGGAGGTGAGAGGTAACGTGAAAATTTTCCCTTCGTCGGAAAAAGGGAATTTATATAGCGGAGGGAAAGCAAATCACATATCATCAGGTGATGCTGTCATGTATTGTCTTTTCGCGCTTTTTTTTAATAATATTTGCAAAAATAAATGCTAAGATTAGCATTGGTTTACAGCCCGGAAACCAAGAATATTGAATTTTGTTTATAATTTATGAATTTTATACGAAACATCCATTTTAGATCACTTATTTTTAAATATGTCACTAAAAATCATGGAACTTTATTCTTTAGCGAAAGTATTATTTTTGTAGCAAAAAAAGAAGCCGGTCAGTAAGACTCCAGCATATCAGCATAGATTCACCATATCAGCTTAGATTACTTTTTACTTAGAGTAATTTTGTTTTTTTATGCCTTTGGCCTTTGAACGTCATAGACATGATTCCACCCTTATTTCATCCACCCTATTTTGAGAATCAGTCCAAATGGGCTCAGGGTCTTTGCGCTCATAGTCGCGGCTAAGGCACTCGAACTATAATACTAGCAACTTTCATAATCCATCAGTTATGCTGGTGGAATGAGAATTTTCGAAATTTTCCCTGTTTCTAGCATATGTATGCTGTCTGGCATTAGCACACAGAAATGTCTAATAGCATCCTGAGGAATTCGCTACTACATTCGGTGGAATTCTATAGCCAAGTCAGCCCATTACTGCGATTGCTGGAGTCGGCAGCCTTAAATGGGTTCACAAATATGTCACATACTTGTTCAATGGGAGAGAGTTCGAGTGATTAAGATTGTCATCGGAAGGTTGCTCTGATGCGGATAAAATACGTGTGGACTTGAAAGTCTGCTGTTTGGAGACAGATATATTGAATGATACTACCTAGAAGCTCCGACAGCATAAGTACAACAGGCCTCAGAATATCGTACCACTTTGTATTGACCGATGAGGGCAGCACGCAGAATGATTAAAGGTAATCGGGTGTCAGACATAATAATATTCTACTTGTCAAGGCCAGGTGTGATGGACGTATACCGCACCATAATGTCATGAATTAAATAACGTTGACCTAGCCTCCCACACATATGGACGTAATGGTCATCTGAACGCTCCTAATTTATCGCTGAAAATGATACACCTCCAGTTTGCTACGTTTCACAAAGCACGTGTTAACACCACGGTATGAGCTGGTGTTAATGGTAGACGTCAGATGGGGCTCCGACAATGCGCGTTGCCTTTCGAAAGTCGTCATCTAATGATTTTCGACAAAAGTTTCGGAGATATGGGTAGGTTCCGCTAAAAGGTTTTAATATGTGGCCTATTGTGGCAACGAACACAACGTCTTGGTCCGTTCATCGAGTCGTCCTTCGCAGCCTGCTGCTACACTTCGCCCTCTTCATGACGGCAAATTAGAACCATTTCTGATAACATCGTCTACTGTTCCATCGTTCCGACCTCGTCCCTAACAATGACCACCATGCCTTCCAGAAGGCTGTAATGCGTCCTGCTTGGAGTCCGTACCGAAGCATTCTCATTGACTACGACCAACAGCACTACCATAGAAACAACTGATTTATAAGCGGGCGAGCGCTAGTTCTTTTGTGTCAGCTGGTTTGTTCTGTTCAACCTTACGGGTTATTTTTACATTCATTTACAGTGCCCATTTAATGACGGGCGTAGCTGGGTTTGGAGTATTCGCATATCAAGCGTCACTGCGTTTCTTAAGATTTTGCTGTGTATGTGCCTTTTTTGTACATAGTTACATTTGTGCAGTATTTTATTAAAAAATTGTTATTATTTCGGATTAATTTCTATTCCAGGTTACATATTTCATCTCAATCGTTAATAAAACAGAACCTGAAATAAACTTGAAGGAAGACTATAAGATCATAATACCGAAAACTGCAGCTCAGTACGCCAGGGTAAGTAACGTTTATATTAATTTCAACAACTATTGATACATAACGATTTTTGAAAACCCTTTTTCTACAGTTTTTCAAACCATGTTTCTTGAAAAGCATAAAGTAAATTCTGAGAAAGAAAGTCTTCGGATAATCATCTTGCATTACAGAAATGATGCAATGCATAAATGTGAGAATTTTATTGAAGCCCCAGACTGCGTAAGGCGTTCTGAAACCAAGTAAGTGGTTACAGCAAAAAAAAAAAAAAAAAAAAAAAAAAAAAAAAAAAAAAAAAAGGATTGATACTTTTTGTCTGAATATAAAACAGTGTGATCATTAGTTTGGATTTTCTTAGAGTTCCTAGTGCTTCATAGTGCCTCCTGTGTTTATAGAAGTTTAGTGAAGGCAGCCATAACGTCAATGAGATCAGTTCAGTGTCGTTGATTATATTTATAGAAGAAATGGGACGATTTTATGGTGAGCCTTAAATTCTCGAAGTACACAAGTATTATATTTGACGATGCTGAAATTTAAAAATACCTGCAATGGAATCTTTCTAGTTTGAGAAGCTATTATGTTAGATTATATGAACTTATCAATGCATTTATCATTCAGGAAATCTTCCCATTATCTGAAACATAAAATAATTAACTTGCTTTCCTCGTGCCTTACAGAAGAGTCTGTTTTCTAACACAAGGCAAAATATGTTTAATTTAATTTTAATATTATAACTGTAGTTGCTTAATAAACGGAGAGATTTAAAAGTTAACGCTAAGTAAAGTTATCGCCTTAGGCTATAGCAGTGTAGCTTGTAGAGTCATTAGGTTATTTCGAAGCAGGAGACGTGAAAAATGAGCAATGTCCTCGCCGGGACTCGAACCTCGGACCTTTCGATATGCGCCCAGCGTGCTGACCATTACACCACGAAGGCATGCTAAGAAGGAAGGAGAAATACCTTATAATCTTAAGGACGTTAAACTCTTAAATGAACAGAAAACCCAACTTGCGTGACAATCCAACCTCCGCTGCTTGCGGATATTTAAATTAATATAAGATAAAATTAAATTTAAATGCATTTAAGGTAGTCTGAGACTTCTCTTACAATAGACTACTTAAGCTGTCTCAACGTAATTAACGGTGCACATTTTAATCGTCAGTCAGCAAGATTCTAAAGCCAGAATTTATTCCATTTACAGTATTTCCCGATTTTTTGTCATTTTCTTTCGATCTGTTGCATTTTTTACAGTATTAGACGGTGCCAACTTATCTTTACGTAGGCGTCATCAATAAAATATTCTTTAACGCTGTTATGGTGTTTGTGTGAAAAATGGGTGGCTGCAATTTGAAAGGCCTTTTCTTTCTTTTGGAGAACATTTTAAATATACTTTATAAAAATAATTCTATTATCACAGTTTTAGCACCCTATTTACATTTATTTATGAGCACAAGGTTTAGGCGTTTACTGTACCGATGATCTGCAATCGATCTTTTGCATAAAGATTTGAGTTTTATATGAAACTAAAACTGTATTAAATATCTCTAAAGGAAGAAAAAATAAAAATCTATCATGAAAAACGCGAATTAATGCTTTTCATTATAACTGCCAGTAAAGTTTATTCCGCGCAAATAAAATTAATTACGTTTTCAGTTGGTACATAAGTTGAACAGTCAGTTTGGTACGTATGCATGAAATCCTGAAAAAATTTGAAATTTTTATTATATAAAACTTTTTTTAATCATTATAGATTACTACGCAGCCTATTATCTTTTTAATATAGTAAACATGCTCCCGAAATTTACCATAATCTCTCTTACTGGGGTGGGAGAGGGGATGTTGATCTCTTATTATTCTAAACCAAATCTATTGCTGAATCATCCTAAATTCAGTAAAGAAATCATTTTACTTCTTGCACCAAATACGAAGAGAAACTTTGCAGCAGGGACTCATTGAAGATTTGGTCGTGTTCTCGCCTGGAACTGAACTGTGGATCTCTAAATTATCGTGTCTATATACTGAGAATAACCTTATTAAAGCCATCTATAGGAACTCTTTTAAATATACTTTATATAATAAATTGGAAGATTATAAGTATATTTGAAATATACTATAATCTTCCAAAGTCAATATATGCGAAAACATTTAGCATCAACAAGCTAGAAAGGAGAAGCAACGCGTGCTGAGAAAAATGGAAACATTAATTTAGATGTTAACAGATTATTCGGTTTCTTCTACTGAAAGTACAACTGATAAAGCTTATACTATCATCCATCCAGCTTTCATATATGCCTTGCTAGAGCTACGATTCGTACCTACTCCATGTGTTGAATAATTTATCAAATACACTGAATACCATCGGGCACGAAATATATTTGTATCACGCATCAGTATCTGAAATGTATAATCTAAGTTCCGGCGACAAGTATTTGGAAGAGTTATTCATCTGATTTATGATGTTAAGTGTGTGCTATTTAAGCTGTACTGAAGTTTAGAATAAAGACATTCTGCTGCATTTAATTTGAGATCCCGATCCATTTATCTGTGTTATCTTCAAATTGTTTTATATAGAAACGTAAATTTTATTACTATTGTACTACAATAATTCGCAGAATTGTACAAGAATTCATCATACATGAATTCTAATAGATAAAATATTAATTTACTATATGAACATTGAAAAAAAATAACAATTGTAAAATATAAACTGAATAAGAAGAAACTAAATAATAAAGTGTACGAAAAGGAAACAAACATTGTGAAAGAAACGCTATGCTTTGCGAGCAAAATTTTATCACAAAACCTATGCTAGAAGAAACCATGTAAAATAAAACTGGACGTAGAGAACTACAGGTATTGTACTTTGCAAGATAAAGGCATGCATACACTAAGCATTTGTTTTCTAAGACAGCTATGTTTGCTTTAATTTAAATTTATACATATTATAAAATTTATAGAAACAAAATTGTAAGGTTGTAAAACTTGCTTGGATTTCAACTTAAATTAGCTTACTTACCATTAACTAAAGGTGTCACACGCAATCTATGGATGAGTTCTCAACACAAGACCTTTCTAAGCGAGCAGACATAAAATTAAGATAAGTTTAAATTTATTTTACTTCACCACTGTTGGAACTGCTGATCCCCACATTTTATCGTTGTAACTTTGTCACACATTTTGTGGAATACATCGTAAATTGCACCTAATAACTGTAAACCTTACTATATTGTATTATTTGAAAGCGAAATGTCGTTAGTATGAATTTATTCTTTAATGACAGTGATCTCACTGAACAAAAGTTTTCATATGTTCAAAGATATTCTGCCTACCCTAGTCGATCGATTGTCCGCATCCAGCAAAAAGTTATAGTAAGTTAACATCTGGAATTAGAATTTGATTCCCGAAATATATTTCATTTTTAAAATCTTCAACGAATTATTATACAATAATTTTATTTGATATGCATTTGGTACCTTTCGGGTTTTTTTTTTTAATTCAATTGTTTTGAGAGTCTTTGAAGCCTGTAACAAATTCTCATTATATATCAATGAGAAGAAAACGTTTTTCTCTTTAGGTGAATATCTCATGTGAAGTAAACATAATTTCTTTCTTTTTTTATTCCAACTGCGAAGACAAAGCTAATATTTATAGAGTTACTGAAATTTAATGAAAAATTTTCATTTTATGTCAGCTATTCCATACTTATCGTTTGATTTTGCTTCACATTTCGAAGATAATAAAATCTCATTTTTCCGTATTAATGAATACATAGTTTTTCATAGCACTATTTTGAAATTTTGGATCCATTATTTTAAATAAAAACATAAAATTCTTTGCAAAAATAAATCTTAAATCCGTCTATTCTTGAAAGTAGCTATAATTTCTTCGATCCAAATTCCGAATTACTTGAACAAATTTGCTTACATAATATGATATTTTATTATTTTAATATATTAGTCTATTAGTCTTTAGAAAGCGTCTATATCGAAAACAACTTATATTTTCGTTTAGAACTAATCTTACTTATTGGGTATGAATAAAAATTTAATCTCACATCATCTGTAATTCATATCGTCTCTCATCAACTGTAATTCATATCGTCTCTCATTGTATCTTGTACATGAAATAAATATACATACGAAATTTTCCTTTGACTCCATTTGCAAAAGACACAAAGGAATAAATATATTAATACTTTTATAATTTATCTATGTAGTGTCACATGTATACTCACGATTCAATGAAGACGAAGACTTAGGCACTCAAGCTGTTTTCCTTTTATGAAGCAATCACTGACAACACCTCTAATTTTGATGGTGAATTTGGAGCAATTCATATAGCCTAGCAACAGCTTTTCTGCTTAAGACCACTTTCTTTAATACCATCATACGTTAGGACTTTAAATCTGTTTTTTAGGTTATTCACAACAACAGAACTTGGGACTCAAAATTTTGAGTGCAGGCAGCTTTTGAATAGTCTTACTAACTCAAAAAATCATAGTGGGTGCCGGCTCATTATGAAGTAGGAAATGACAGTTCAGATTTCCGGCAAAGAAAGGAACAACTCTCTTCGCCAAACCCAGAAATTTTATGAACTTTTATTCTGCTGAATTACGTATGGAATTTATTATGATTCATGACTCAAATTTGGGCATAACGTGATAGTCCTTATAAACATTACGCCGTAGACGACTTAAAAAGTATCTTACAATTCAATGCTCCTTCTGACGATTTTACTTTCGATTCACCTAAGAAAGTGTTTATTTTCTGTGACATTTTTCTCCATCAAAAAATGATTTTCCTTGCCTAAGACTTTTCCGTTGATACTAAAGGGGATGACTCTCAATTAACTTATTTACAAAATGTATTTTGTAGCTAAAGGCTAGACTATACTGAAGAAAACTTTTGAAATGGTTTTAATGTATTACTTAAGTATATACTTGAACAGCTGAATCTTTAACCATGCAGTAGTAAAATTATTTTAAGACTACCTTTTTCCCTCAGAAAATACAATATATTTCAGTTAT